GTGCCATCTTTGAAGACGAGAGTCTGGACCCTAATCTGCCAGCACCTTGATCTTGGACTTACCAGCCTCCAGAACTGTGAGGAAATAAATTTCTGTTCATTATAAATTATCCAGGGTCAGCTACTCTGTTACAGCAACACAAAATGGACTGAGACCAAAGGGCCAAAAGAGACTAGGGTACTCCCTTCAACCTCTTTTAAAAGGCACAAAGTCACTCACGAGAAAAGGACTTCCCCAAAGGCTCCATCTCTTAATATTATCACATTGGTTCCAACATACACATTGGAGGAACACGTACATTCTAGCCATAACAGTTGGCTCTAAAACAAACTGCAAGTAGGTAATTGGCAAGCTAAGAGGACAGTTCAGGACTTGATTTGAACTACCAACAATTTGCTCATAATCCATTTTTAGAGTCAGTGGGATGGGTCACAGTTTCTCATTCTCAGCAGTACTGACTTTCCGAGCTGAATAATTCTTTGTTTTGCAGGGCAAGAGGGGAGAAGAAGCTGTCCTGTGCGTTGTAGGGTATTTAGCAGCATTCTGACCTCTATTCACCAGATTCCGGCAGTCCCTCCCACTAAACAAGACCAATATCAAAATTTCTGCAGACATTGCCAAAGGTCCTGTTGAGAAACACTGGTGTAAGTAGACCAGGCCAGGGGAAAGGGAAGGAGGAAGAGCCCTGGAGAAACCGTCTTATGATCCCCTTGCAAGTTTTACTTTGTTTAAAATTTTCTTTCCTATCAAAAGCCAAACTGTATGTAAGCAAATATGGTAGCAGTAAAGCTTCTCATTTATGAATTCAAGGCTTTAGTAAACTTATGGGAAATTTTTTTCCCTGGAATTTGGCTTTGGTACTTTTAAGTTTTAATAAATCTAGTTACTGTCATACTGACTCTTGTACATACAGCTGGATAAACAAACTCAAGAAACACTCTCAGCCACATCTTCATGAGCAACTCTACAGGCAAAATCCCTGTCATTTTGAGATGTTTTATATTCAAAGCAATTGTGGGGAAAAAAGGAGTATTTCCAGATTCCATTGCCTGCTTTAAATCTGTGGTTTCATCTTTATTACTGGTGTGGCGTACCGCTGCTGGCCAGATGAGCAATTAAATTTGCAGCTTAAGTTCGGTGTCTGTTTCTAAACAGTCACAGCTGTAATATCTCTAACCTCTGGGGCAGACCCTAGTTCAAATATTGCTAGTGGATCAATATAATATACATCTGGCCCTAGTAAGTGGGTTCAAGAAACCTGCATCTGAGCTTTCAGGGCCAAAGCCATAGGAAAGAAGAGTTATGCTGTCAGAATAACAAAGCTGTCTCCATATTCAAATGCCTATGCTGCATCAAAGCCCAGGTATTGGAGACCCGTACATATGAGTTGCTAAAAGCACAAAAATTGGTTCTTGAATGTGTTGGTCCCGTTTATTTAAAAACCACCAGAGTAATATATCATGGACAAATGCGATTTTAGATCAGGGACTTTGTGTAGTGTCTAACCTTGTATTAACGCTGGTACTTTATCGTTCTAAGGCTCAGAGCTTGAATTGGGCTATCGTAACATATACATTTCATGCAGAAATTCTCTTAAAAATGTTGTATGACTTTCCAGTTTCATGTTTCACTTGAATTAAGTCACCTCAAGGCATAGCTCCAATTATGGGTTGTGTGGTAAAAAGCTTCTCAGCACAGTCAAGAGAAAGAGTGTGTGACTCTGCTTAGAAGGTAGTCCCACTTTAGACCTTTATGCCTTTTTCTCTTCTGTTATAAAATAGGGGTGATAATTCATGTTTAACATTCACCACACACATTCAATAAAAAGTGCCAGCCTCTGGGATAGATGTTGAGAAATAAAATTTTAAAAAAAGAGAGAAGAGAAAGGAAGAAAGGAAGGGAAGAAGCGTGAGAAAGGCTTCTGCTTTGAAGATCTATTGTACATAGCATTTTTTCTGTTGTAAGATAGGTGGCTGTGGGTAGATTGATAGATATGCAAATAAAGAAAACAGATTTTCACAGTACTTTGAAATCACAAAGTTAAAATCTCATGTAGATTTAAGATCCTTTTATATATAGAGAAATCCCCAGAGCAATAGACTGTACCGTTCTTCACTTACATTAAAATAAGATAGTGCTCCAGGATTCTGAATTTAGCAGCTGTTGGTACACGTGTCTCTTGCCACACTCATAAAGGTTTTTAATGTACAATAACATAGCATATAGCTCATCCCTTCTATGGTTGGATGCATTATTTATAATTAACTAACTTTGTACCATCTTCACATGTGGAAGGAGCAATAATTGGAGCTATCCATTTTTAGTTCACAGGAAACAAGACTCTCTTCATTTTTAATAGTGCCATTTACCTACCACCCTTTCTGCCAATGATTTCAATTGTTCAGTTGTGGCTCTTGTTTTATTTTAATTCATTCACATTTTGCCACTATGAAAAGATGTCTGTTCGAAATAAATTAGCCTGAGAGCTCATCTGAGAATGCTGGGAGGCTAGCTGCATCCCCACTGCTTCAGCACAGATGCATGGGGCAGAGCTCAAAAGCCGCAATGTCTGTACCTGAATTCATTCATCTGAAAAGTGAAAATGGTCATATTGGTATTTCAAGATCTGAAAACAATATTAGAAGGATATTTGCTTGGCAGGTGTTTGTCCGTTAATTCTGACTCACCTTGTCCTCGCATCATGAGACACTTTGGATCCATAGAAATAAATAACTCTACCCACACACTTTGTTCTGAAAAATATTCTGTACATATACTAGCTGTGTTTACTAACCCTAAATTCTAGGCTTCTCTCTGCAAATAGATAGGAGTCTCTGAAGTCAGGCCCCACTTTTCGCCAACTGCACTCTGTCAAAAATGAGGTTGGAGGTGATGGATCTTCCTCTATCAGGGGCTATGTAGCGGGACAATCCAGATTTTACAGGAAGTTGTGTTAGAAGAGAATCCTTGTTTTGGAATGAACCTCAGTGGAGGAGACCAGGTGCTCTATCAGCCCAATTATTAAAGGTTCAACTCATTTCAAAAGCAGGTGTAGTACTTACAAAGGGGACTTGAGTGCTTACTCATGACTTGAAGGAATTTTGAACAGGGTATAGGAGTAAACCATTTGAAATAGAAAGCAGAAAATAAACAAACTAAAGGGCTGAATATTGGTACAAATGATACAGTTCTGGAGTGATAGATTCTGGCTAGAGAAAAGCAAGAGTTATTTACAGAAGGATTTAAGTATCTGAGTTGAGACTAGGATGACCAGATGAATTCAACAGTCAGAAAAATTTTAACTAGTAAATGGGGTGGTTGGGTAAAGGACACTGTAAGGGAAGAAGTTGAATAAGCATAGTTACAGAAGCTCCGAAGCAAAAGCAAGTGTGGCCATTTGGACTGGGCTAGAGTTACCACAGCGACGAAATGAAAGAGTGATGAAGAGTTGGAGGCCGCATTTTCCCTCAACGTTAAATGATTTGAAATTATTCTGCTAGCAGTAGTCTAATGTTTGATTTTCACCAGTAAATGATCGAAGCAAGACATTTATTTTTAAGACGTTAAAATATATCTTATTAAATATTACCGGCCAGGAGAGGTGGCTTAGCTGGGTGCAGTGGCTCATACGTGTAATCCCAGCACATTGGGCCGAAGAGGCAGGAGGATCACGCGGTTAGGAGTTCGAGACCAGCCTGGCCAACATGGTGGAAACCCATCTCTACTAAACATACAAAAATTAGCTGGGTGTGGTGGTGCACACCTGTAATCCCAGCTACTCAGGAGGCTGTGGCAGGAGAATTGCTTGAATCTGGGAGGCGGAGGTTGCAGTGAGCTGAGATTGCCCACTGCACTCCATCCTGGGAGACACAGCCACACTCCATTTCAAATAATAATAATAAATAAAAATAAATAAAAAATGTATCAAAATAGTATGGGAAGAGACTGAATGTGTTACTAATCTCCACTGGGAATGGAATTATTTATTTGTGAAGTTTATATTTCCCTGTAGTCCTATTGCTACTAAGTTATTATTTGTGACATCCGAGGTCAGACCTTGGGTTAGTTTATGCCAAAGTGTCATCTCACCTATCTGTGAGAAGTTCCATATGTGAAGTTCAACAGTATTCCCAGCCTGCTCTAGGATTTCCACGTCCAGGCACTGACTCACATGTCATAGTAATCGGGAACACTGCCTTCTCCTGTCTGCATGTAGGTCTTTACCGAATACCAGGTCCCATTTTTAAATAAGAGGCTCCTTCTACTTGTTTGTCCCATGCTTTCCCTATTTATACTGCCTGAGAAATTGTTTTCCATCAGTAAAGTTGATTAGTCTTTTCTGTTTTCCCCTGATCTTTGCTAGCATCTGGGCTACAGAAGTTATTCTTCTGTATTAATCTGGATATTTTGGTTTTACTCTTCCAAAGGACAGCAAGCTCAGCCAGGCTGCCTCTCAGTTCCAAGGGAATGCTCATTCCCTCCCTCCCAGACCTTGCTCTTTCCAAAAGGATGATTTCTCTCATCCCAGTGCTTATCCCTTCCCACTCCAGCTCCTCCCATCAGCCCCCAGTAAGGCTCTATTATACAGTTGTCCTCTTTCCATAACCAAAAGCTTTTAACGCCAGCACGGCAGTGTCTTTAGACACTCGCATTCCCAAACTGTCCCCTCCTCCAGCTCAACTCCTCCGGGAGTGCGCGGCCTTCGCTACAGCCCAGAACGCGAAAACCCCGAGCTTCCTCTGCTTAGAAACCCAGGGCGCTTGCCCCGCCTCTGCTCCGCCCCACCTGCTGTCGGCCCCGCCCCGCCCGCCGCCGGCCTGCCCACGCCTCCTCTGGGCCTTCCCGAGGCCCCGCCTCCGACCCCCAGACAGTGCTGTCTCTGTCCCGCCCCTTGCCCGCCGGCCAGTGTCGCCCTCCCTGAGACCCCGCCTCCAGTCCCGCCCCGTCCTATCTCCGCCCCGCCCCCGCCTGCCGGCCCGGAAAGCCGCCTCTCACCCTACCCGGGCCGCGCTGCTGGAGCTGGCACAGTAGAACGGCTGCCGCGGCGACAACACCTCCTGAGGACGCGGGCGCTGAGCTGGACGAGGCGCCACTGAGACCGCCCCCCGCCCGCGGGTCTCTGTCCCGGGGTCAGGGGTTGCCCCCGCGAGCGCCCGACGTTTCCTGAGGGCGGGCGTGTCCGGGCGCTGCGGGGCGCGGGGACCGAGCGCGGCTGAGGAGACCGAGCTGGGGCCGCCGCCTGCCAGAGCGCTGGGGGCGCCCGGAGCCCCGTGACTCTCGGTGCAGAGCAGTTTTCTGTAACTCTCCACCTCCGCCTCCCTCGGGGCCCAGTGCGGCGCCGAGCCCCCGTGGGGATCTGCCTGAGGTAAGCGGACTTGGCGGCTCGGGGGTCTCTCACCCTCCTACCGCAGCGTCAGGGCGGGGAGCGGAGCTTGGGGGCGGCAGGGTCGGAGGACGCCAGTGAAAACATGCAACAGGCGGGGCGGATCAGGAAACTCCTCGCCGGAATGTTTCCCACAGAGGAGAGACTTGTCCAAGACTGAAACTTGCTTAGGTTCTTCCAGCCGCGGACGGGCACGGAGAGGCGGCTCCCGACACCGGGGTACGAGCTCCCTCTGGCGGCTCCGCTGAGGACGGGGACGCGGCTACAGGTGAGCGCCGGGCGCCGAGCGGCCGCCCCTCGGCCTGGCGCGGGGTCACGATTTGGGTTCCCAGAGAAAAAAACGACCGGTCCGAGCCGTTCTCTTTAGGAAGATGCATTCTGGTCCCATGAGAGCGAAACCTTCCCGGAATTTTTAAAACAGTCTTTTCAACTTTTACTTCTTTGTCCCTCGGTCCTTGGGAACAAGATAGAACAAAGAGAGCAGGGCTCATCTTTGTGTAAACTGCATTTGAATAAAAACATTTTTAAGTGACGAAAGCTGCCTTAGTGGCGTTAAACTCTAGAAATTGTCAGGAGAGTTCGAGCTTGTGTACTGTGGATTGTTAGTTGCCTGTCGTCTGCTGACTGCCATTCGGTTCCAAACAAGTGCATTTAAAGGGGTAAGAAAAAAATCACTTGCTTAGGCTGTAGATAATTATGAGATTTTACTGCGATTCTAAGATTTGTATCAAGTGATTGCGGAATGTTTAAGTCATCAGTGTATGTTCGCTGTCAGCATACCTGGAGCCTCAGCGAATTTTTGTTTTGTCCCCCACCCCCAGAAAAGAGTGTCATGAGAAAGGAACAGAAGAGAGACCTCCCTGTTGCTGAAAGGGGAATTTTCTTTCCCAGTTGGCGCTCACTTCATGATTGGACGAGAAGTACCTAGCTGGCTGAAGGGATTCCATGTTTACAGTTGTACAGATGGCGCTGATAAAAGAAGACGTGGAAATGATTTCTCTTTGTCGTAATGGGCTGATGAGTAAGTAAGCCTGAAAAGCATTTGAAATGAAGGCAGGAATTTTGAATTTTTTAAAACCCAGTAAGACTATGACCACTTGTTGAGGATGTTTTTATCTCATAAATGGAAGAAAAAATTCACAAGGCAAGAAGTATACAAAGTTGAGAGAAATGACAACCGAGTCCACTCACTCCAGGAATGTCAGTAATTCATCATCATCTTTGGGCAGATATACACAAATGGACCATACATGCGTGGTGATTTTATCACCAGTGATGGGTTTCTGTGCTAGAAATGACTCTTAATTTGAATTTTGGAGTGCGTTTTCTCTTTTTTTGCAATGTGTGTCCCAACTCTTTGTGTTAAATAGATTTAAGTAAAGGAAGTAAGTGCTTAAATCATAGTGTTTTTTTTAACGGTACCACTTCCCTGTGTATTATGGAAAATTTTGAGATTTTAACATTCTTTGAAGTTTTACTGGAAGCAAAACTGCCAGGGACAGAGATACACAATGTAAATTTTCTCTTTTTGGCAACTGCCCTTGCTTAGAATGAACTGAATGTCAGCTGAATTTCACAGCATATCAGATTTACAGTCTTTGTTTTCTTCAAGGCCTTTACTGTATATTTTATACTAACCAGATGGGAGACACATTGAGCATCGTATCTGACATGTATGCCTAAGGAAGGAGCACCCCCATGGATCATGGCGGTAATGTTTACAGGACATTTACTATTCTTAGCGTTATTGATGTTTGCTTTCTCTACTTTTGAGGAATCTGTGAGCAATTACTCTGAATGGGCAGTTTTCACAGATGATATAGATCAGTTTAAAACACAGAGAGTGCAAGATTTCAGACCCAAGCAAAAGCTGAAGAAAAGTATGCTTCATCCAAGTTTATATTTTGATGGTGGAGAAATCCAAGCAATGAGACAAAAGTCTCGCACAAGCCATTTGCATCTTTTTAGAGCTATCAGAAGTGCAGTGACAGTTATGCTGTCCAACCCAACATACTACCTACCTCCACCAAAGCATGCTGATTTTGCTGCCAAGTGGAACGAAATTTATGGTAACAATCTGCCTCCTTTAGCATTGTACTGTTTGTTATGCCCAGAAGACAAAGTTGCCTTTGAGTTTGTCTTGGAATATATGGACAGGATGGTTGGCTACAAAGACTGGCTAGTAGAGAATGCACCAGGAGATGAGGTTCCAATTGGCCATTCCTTAACAGGTTTTGCCACTGCCTTTGACTTTTTATATAACTTACTAGATAATCATCGAAGACAAAAATACCTGGAAAAAATATGGGTTATTACTGAGGAAATGTATGAGTATTCCAAGGTCCGCTCATGGGGCAAACAGCTTCTCCATAACCACCAAGCCACTAATATGATAGCGTTACTCACAGGGGCCTTGGTGACTGGAGTAGATAAAGGATCTAAAGCAAATATATGGAAACAGGTTGTAGTGGATGTAATGGAAAAGACGATGTTTCTACTGAATCATATTGTTGATGGTTCTTTGGATGAAGGTGTGGCCTATGGAAGCTACACAGCTAAATCCATCACACAGTATGTTTTTCTGGCCCAGCGCCATTTTAATATCAATAACTTGGATAATAACTGGTTAAAGATGCACTTTTGGTTCTATTATGCCACCCTTTTACCTGGCTTCCAAAGAACTGTGGGTATAGCAGATTCCAATTATAATTGGTTTTATGGGCCAGAGAGCCAGCTAGTTTTCTTGGATAAGTTCATCTTAAAGAATGGAGCCGGAAATTGGTTAGCTCAGCAAATTAGAAAGCACCGACCTAAAGATGGACCGATGGTTCCTTCAACTGCCCAGAGGTGGAGTACTCTTCACACTGAATACATCTGGTATGATCCCCAGCTCATACCACAGCCACCTGCTGAATATGGTACTGCAAAAATACACACATTCCCTAATTGGGGTGTGGTTACTTATGGGGCTGGGTTGCCAAACACACAAACTAATACCTTTGTGTCTTTTAAATCTGGGAAGCTGGGGGGACGGGCTGTGTATGACATAGTTCATTTTCAGCCATATTCATGGATTGATGGGTGGAGAAGCTTTAACCCAGGACATGAGCATCCAGATCAGAACTCATTTACTTTTGCCCCCAATGGACAAGTATTTGTTTCTGAAGCTCTCTATGGACCCAAGTTGAGCCACCTTAACAATGTATTGGTGTTCGCTCCATCACCCTCAAGCCAGTGTAATAAGCCCTGGGAAGGTCAACTGGGAGAATGTGCACAGTGGCTTAAGTGGACTGGTGAGGAGGTTGGTGATGCAGCTGGGGAAATCATCACTGCCTCTCAACATGGGGAAATGATATTTGTGAGTGGGGAAGCAGTGTCTGCTTATTCTTCAGCAATGAGACTGAAAAGTGTGTATCGTGCTTTGCTTCTCTTAAATTCTCAAACTCTGCTAGTTGTTGATCATATTGAGAGGCAAGAAGATTCCCCAATAAATTCTGTCAGTGCCTTCTTTCATAATTTGGATATTGATTTTAAATATATCCCATATAGGTTTATGAATAGGTACAATGGTGCCATGATGGATGTGTGGGATGCACACTACAAAATGTTTTGGTTTGATCATCATGGCAATAGTCCTATGGCTAGTATACAGGAAGCAGAGCAAGCTGCTGAATTTAAGAAACGGTGGACTCAATTTGTTAATGTTACTTTTCAGATGGAATCTACAATCACAAGAATTGCATATGTCTTCTATGGGCCCTATATCAATGTTTCCAGCTGCAGATTTATTGATAATTCCAATTCTGGACTTCAGATTTCTCTCAATGTCAATAATACTGAACATGTTGTTTCTATCGTAACTGATTACCATAACCTGAAGACAAGATTCAGTTATCTGGGATTTGGTGGCTTTGCCAGTGTTGCTGATCAAGGCCAAATAACCCGATTTGGTTTGGGCACTCAAGCAATAGTAAAGCCCGTAAGACATGATAGGGTTATTTTACCCTTTGGATTTAAATTTAATATAGCAGTTGGATTAATTTTGTGCATTAGCTTGGTGATTTTAACTTTCCAATGGCGTTTTTACCTTTCTTTTAGAAAATTAATGCGATGGATACTGATACTTGTTATTGCCTTATGGTTTATTGAGCTTCTGGATGTGTGGAGCACTTGCACTCAGCCCATTTGTGCAAAATGGACAAGGACAGAGGCCGAGGAAAGCAAGAAGTCTTTGTCTTCTGAAGGGCACCACATCGATCTTCCTGATATTGTCATTACCTCCCTACCTGGTTCAGGAGCTGAAATTCTCAAACAACTTTTTTTCAACAGTAGTGATTTTCTCTACATCAGGGTTCCTACGGCCTACATTGATATTCCTGAAACTGAGTTTGAAATCGACTCATTTGTAGACGCCTGTGAATGGAAGGTGTCAGATATCCGTAGTGGGCATTTTCGTTTACTCCGAGGTTGGTTACAGTCTTTAGTCCAGGATACAAAATTACATTTGCAAAACATCCATTTGCATGAACCTAGTAGGGGTAAACTGGCCCAATATTTTACAATGAATAAGGACAAAAAAAGAAAATTAAAAAGGAGAGAGTCTTTGCCGGAACAAAGAAGTCAAATGAAAGGCGCCTTTGATAGAGATGCTGAATATATTAGGGCTTTGAGGAGACACCTGTTTTACTACCCAAGTGCACGTCCTGTGCTCAGTTTAAGCAGTGGGAGCTGGACCTTAAAGCTTCATTTTTTTCAGGAAGTTTTAGGAGCTTCGATGAGGGCATTATACATAGTAAGAGACCCTCGGGCATGGATTTATTCAATGCTGTACAATAGTAAACCAAGTCTTTATTCTTTGAAGAATGTACCAGAGCATTTAGCAAAATTGTTTAAAATAGAGGGAGGTAAAGGCAAATGTAACTTAAATTCAGCCTATGCTTTTGAGTACGAACCATTGAGGAAAGAATTATCAAAATCCAAATCAAATGCAGTGTCCCTGTTGTCTCACTTGTGGCTAGCAAATACAGCAGCAGCCTTGAGAATAAATACAGATTTGCTGCCTACTAGCTACCAGCTGGTCAAGTTTGAAGATATTGTGCATTTTCCTCAGAAAACAACTGAAAGGATTTTTGCCTTTCTTGGAATTCCTTTGTCTCCTGCTAGTTTAAACCAAATATTGTTCGCCACCTCCACAAACCTTTTTTACCTTCCCTATGAAGGGGAAATATCACCAACTAATACTCATGTTTGGAAACAGAACTTGCCTAGAGAGGAAATTAAAGTAATTGAAAACATCTGCTGGACACTGATGGATCGCCTAGGATATCCAAAGTTTATGGACTAAATGCTGCAGGTCAGCAGAAATTTGCACTAATACTTCTCAACCCACTTTGTGGATATGAATTAGAAGAGTTTGCTTATTCTTGCAATGCTTGTGTGTGTGTGTATGTGTGTGTGTGTGTGTGTTTGTGTGTTCAGTGTTATTTGCACA